CCCGTCCTTCATAGTCGCGTTCACTACTTGCTTCCATGTAGACTTGTGGACCAGGTACATGTGCCAGGAATTACTCATTTTTCATGATCTAATACGGCTTGTCTTACTCCACAGAGAAGGAGCTGTGGGGTGGGGGACTATGTAGTGAGGGAAGCCAGACTGCACCCCAGTACTGCTCCCTTGGGGTCTTCCTTCAGAGTAATGAAGATGTCATTTCCGTTGCTTACAGGTTTGTGAAATGGCTGCTGACATTTCTGAATCCAGCGGGGCTGATTTCAGAGGTGATCCGAAGAACAGTGCCAAGTTAGATGCTGATTATCCACTGCGAGTCCTTTATTGTGGAGGCAAGTGTTGGAAGGTGGAAGATTGCTTTTACTGTTTTGTTTTGGGTTTTTTTGGTACTGGGGATCGAACTCGGGACCTTGCACTTGTGAGGCAGGCGGTGGAACCACTGAGCTAAATCCCTAACCCTGGCTTTTACTGTTTTGATGCCTTATGTTAATAGTTTTACATTTGTTCCTGTTAAGTTTCTTTTTATGCATTTTACTTTTGTCATTTGGTGAACCCTTAATTGAAAAGGGGGCCTCAGTGAAGAGGAAGCAGAGGTTAACAGATTTTCCCAACCTTTGTGATTTGTATCTTGCTACTTGGCCTGGAGGAGTTTACAATCCAGTTGAAGTAGAGATGTGCAAATAGATTATTTAAGCTTGATGGTCATCTGGGAGTTTATTTGTTTTAATTTTTTTTGGTACCAGGGATAGAACTCGGGACCTTGCACTTTCAAGGCAGGTGCCAGAACCACTAAGCTAAATCCCCAGCCCTTTTGAGTTTAAAGGAGGGCTTCTTGGAAGATATTGAGTCCTGAGGGATGGGAAAGAATGGAGGAGGAAATGAGGAATGGCACCCTAGAGGGAGAGAACAGCTGTGCAAGGGAAAAAGCTGGTGCATGTCTGTGGAGAATTGAGCAGCTTTGAAGTAGGATAGGGGAGAGTAAACTGTAGGTTAAGGAGTGGAGATGAGGTTAGAGTGAGAAGCAGTAAACACCCTTGGAAAGTCTTTTTTATTTTTGAGACAGGGTCTTGCTATGTAGTTCACGCTGGCCTTGAACTCAGTATGTTGCTCAGGCTGGCGTTGGACTTGAAGCTATCCTCCTGCCTCAGCTTCCCAAGTGCTGGAATTATAGGCATACACTACCACCCCCGGCGGTGGGAAAGGCTTTTTGAGTAATAACATATATTTTAGACTCAATCAACAATTTTCCCCCATTAGTATTTTTCCTCATTTTCAGTAGGAAAATTTCAATTCAAGGTTCTCTTTTATTTGCTCTTCAAAACTTTCAGAAAGCTTTGAAGACACAGGACAGTAAAAGGGCATGTCAATATTTTTGAGCACACTTAACTGTGTGCCAGGCATGTTTCAGGTTGAGGACTGAAGAGTGAATAAATAAAAAGGGAAAAGCCTGGGATGTAGCTCAATTTGAGGCCTTGGATTCTATCCCCAGTACTGACAGGGTAAAATTAGTGACTCATCATTTATTGAGTATCCTTGATAATGAAATAAAATTAGTGTGCCATACCTTCAGTTTTTTAAAAAATTATTTTTATTTTTATTATTATTTGCTGTACTGGGAATGGAACCCAGGGGCACTCATATTGAGCCATATCCCCGGCCCTTTTTTCTCTTTTTGAGACAGGATCTCACTTGCCTGGGAAGACTAAATTTGCTATCCTCCTGCCTCAGCCTCCTGGCTGGATTGAATCTTACCACATTTGTCTTTTTTTGTTTTTTTTTTAACTGGAGATTGAACTCATGCACTTAGCACTAAGCTAATCTCCAGCCCTGTTTTGTTTTGTTCTTGTTTTTTTGAGCCAGGACCTTGTTAAGTTGCTAAATTGCCCATGCCAAGCTCAAACTTGTGATCTTCCTGCCTCAGCCTCCCATAGTGCTGGAATTGCAGGTGTGCACCATCATGCTTGTCTTGTCTTATAGCATAGTCAATTATATTCTTTGCCTTTGGAGTCATTGGCCAATATTTGCATCATGACTCTAGCGCTTACCAGGTGTATGGCCCTGGGCAAGTTATTTGATTTCTCTAAGGTTTAAAGGTCTGTTTCTAAGATATATAGAATGAGAAAGAATATTGCATGTTAAGTCAGATGATTGGTGTGAAGTACCTGGGGTAACTATCACAAGAACCTAGTCTTCCAAATGCTGTTATTTATTTTTTATTTTTTTGGTACTGAGGATCGAACTCTTGTCTTTGCATTTGCGCAGCAGGTGTTGAAACCACTGAGCTAAATCCCCAGCTTAAATGCTGTTATTATTATTAGAGTGTGGTCGTTCATTATGATTGTTCATCTTGTTTGTCAGATGTAGTTTGGAACTATTCTGACTAGGCTTAGTGGTGCACACCTAATCCCAGCACTCAGGAGTACAAGGCAGGAGGATCACTGCAAGTACAAGGGCAGCCTGAACTACATAGTGACCCTGCCTCAACAAACAAACAAAAAAAACTTTTATTCTGGAGCTGGGGATGTAGCTCACTGGTAGACCACTTGGCTGGCATGTACAAGGCCCTAGATTCAATCCTCAGTACTGCAAAAATAAAAATTGTTCTTTGTATCCTGTTTCATCAAATCTAAGACTTATTTTATAAAATGTACTATGGATATTCTCCTAGTGGGGAAAAATGATATCAATTAAATTGACATAGCTCTATTAAAAATATAAAAAAATTAGAGTTGATGAAATACAGGATATGAAAAACACACTGTTGAATTGCTTATGTCACTTCTCAGATGGCTTGGAGGGGGGATACTAGGGATTGAACCCAGAGCTTTCACAGAGCTACATCTCCAGCCCTTTTTATTCTTTATTTTGAGACAAAGCCTCTCTGTGGCCCAGGCTGTGATCTTCCTGGCTTAAGTGGCTTTTGAAGACTACACCAAGTAGTCCATCTACTCCACCAATAATTTATGTTGAAGAGAAGTCCCTAACCTTTGTGAGAAAGGTGTATTTTAATTTCCTTCCCTACTTTGTGTTGGTATTGTAGGCAGTAGGCTGAGGAGAGATGTACTTCTTCCCCAAGGAGCTTAAGGTCTAGGTGTGTAAGAATCACTAGGAAGTGTTAAATACTTGAGTGAAGTGGTACTGACCATATGGGGGTTTGGGGATCTTTGTCCAGAGGAAAGTGGGAAAGTTTTCAAGGAAGTGGGGTTTGTATAAGTCTTAGGTGATAGGTAGAATTTGAAAGGTGAAGAAATTTGTAAGAACAACATGGGGGTATAATTTAATATGCTGTCTTCAGGGGAGAAGGAGACAAAGGTTTCATAGGAACAGAAGGCTAATTTGGAGTAAAGAAACAAAAATGGTAGGGTGGGGTGAGGTCTGAGGAAACATGTCTTCAGAGTTCAGACTGCAGATGTTGAAGTCTGAGTTTATTTCTTTTGTATTGTTGGGGATCACGCCCAGGGCTTTCTGCAGGCTAGGCAGTGTTCTACTGCTGAGTTACACTCCCAGCCCTTTCTGAGTTTAAATCTCTTTTTTTGTCTTTTTTTTTTTTACTTTTACTAACTGTACCCTTGTCTAGTTCCTTCATAAAAGGAAAGTAGAAGAGCCTATTTCAGAGCACTGTTGAGAGGGGTAAATAATACATTGCACAGGGTATAGTGGCATATACACTACTTGGGAGGCTAAGACAAGAGGATCACAAGGTTGAGGCCAGACTATGAGAGAGAGAGAGAGAAAGAAGAGGGGACAGGGGACGGGGCATCTTTCAGCCCAGCCTGAGCAATTAAGTGACTTAGTAAGACCTTGTCCCAAAATGGGAAAAGCTGGGCGTGGTGGCCGCACACCTTGTGATCCCAGCACTTAAGAGGCTGAGGCAGGAAGATCACTGCTAGTTTGAGGCCAGCCTGGGCTACATGGTGAATTCAAGGCCAGCCTGGACTACAAAGCAAGACCCTGTAACAGAAACTGAAAAAAGGTTTGGGATGTAGCTCAATGTGAATGTTCTGGATTCTGCCCTTATTACTATAAAAAAAGAAGAGAGAGGCCCAGGGATTTAACTCAGTGGTGCCGCCACCTGCCTTGCAAGTGTAGAGTCCTGAGTTCGATCCCCAGTACAAAAAAAAAAGAAGAAAGGAAACAAATGTTTGGCACATGGTAAGTTCTTGGTAAAGCTTATCTTTTATTATTTCTAAAAGTCAGATAAGTTGGGAGTTGTTACAGTCACCATCATCTGTAGTGAACTGTTAGTTCTGTGAGGAGGAAAATAATGAAGTGACAAGAGAAGATGAAATGCTACATTATGAGGAGGAGGAAGAGCCCATAAAAAGTAAGGCTGGCTGCAGAAATGCAGGCTTGAGGGAGGTTCAGTGCCTTGCTCTCAGTGGAAGCTATGTAAAAAGCAGAAGGTCAATCAAGGAAAAGATGGGCTGCTCAGCAGTGAAAAGGGGAAAAGATTCATGGTGAATTATGTATTTCTAAACTGAGAGAACTGAAAAGTAGGAGAGGGGTGATGAGGTTCATTATATTTGGAGGTGAGGTGTGGGTTCATTTCCCAGTATAGTGAACTTGTCTCTCCCATGTTTTAGAGCGGCAGCAGAGAGGTCAGGAAATAAAGCTTGGCACTGTTAGCCTCGGAGGCGAGGGTCTGAAATGGAGACGATGGGAGCTTTTCTGAGGAACGAGAAGGACTTAGGGATTCTTGGGGTGTACTCATAGTGAGGTGAGCTGGGCAGATTTCACCACATAATTGGTGTCAAGTGTAGAGAGGTCAGCCTCTGGGAATCTTGTTTTTCTGCAATTATAAAGCATGACAGGACGCAAGAAAAATTGGTACATTTATTTGTTTGTGGTCCTGGGGACTGAATGCAATTCCTTGCACTGAGCTACATCCACGGCCCTTTTGAGGCTATTCTTTGAAACAAGGTCTTGCTAAGTTGCCCAAACTACAGCAGAACTTGGGATTCTTCTGCTTTGGCCTCCCAGAGTGCTGGGAATACAGGCATGCGCTGCCACACTTGACTGATAGATGTATTTTGACAAGATGTCTAGAATAGAGTATAGGTTCCTGTTGTATTCTTTTTTTTCCTTTTGTACTGGAAATTGAACCTAGAAGTGCTCTACCACCAAGCCACATCCCCAATGCTTTTTATTTTTAATTTTGAGACGTTATCATTAAGTTGCTTAGGCTGGCCTTGAACTTCTGATGCTCCTGTCTAAGGTTCTGGAATAGCTAGGATTACAGGTGTGCACCACCACACCTAGGGGATTCTATTCTTTCTTTTTCATTTTATTTAGGGTTTTTTTGAGATATGGTCTCACTGTGTAGTTCAGGCTGGCCTTGAACTCACTATATAGCCCAGGCTGGCCTCAAACTTGAGGTGCTTCTGCTTCAGCCTCCTGAGTGCTTGGATTACAGGTGTGTGTCACCACACCTGGCTGTATTCTTACATGACAGTTATCTGTGAAGCAACATTTTAAACTTGAAAGCCTATGTGAATCAAGTACAAGACTCCTTTCCGGTGACTTCAATGGGTCAATAAAGTAGCACTAAAGAGTGGAAGCTATTGAATTGAAAGATGTATTTCTACCTAATCAGCACTGTTCAGAACAATACTGTACAGGCTTCTGTTTGATATAAAATCCGTCTTACGTTTCACTGAACAAAGCAGTAGTGGACATGAGTTTAAATGCTATCTTCTGATTCCAACATTACCATTTTGTAAACATGGTGGACTTGGTTAGCCAGCTTGTTAAGAAAACAGGGTCCAATTTACCAAGACTGTAAAAACATTCACTGAGTAGCTCTGATGGGTAAAGTCCTGGGCTAAATTCTGAGGAGGATTGTAAATTGGCAGGGGCCTGCCCTTTGTCTGCACATAGTTTACACCTGGTAGATGTAGGCAAGGGCTGGAAAGAAGATGAAGGTGAGGCCGGCAGCAGATAGAGACAAACAATAAAGAGTAGGACACCGGGTGTGGTGGTGCACACCTGTGATCCCAGCACTCAGGAGGCTGAGGCAGGAGGATTGCCAGGAGTTGGGAGGCCAGCCTGGACTACATAGTGAGTTCAAGGCCACCCTGAGCTACATAGCAAGACCTTGTCTCAAAAAGAAAGACTTAATGGAGGTTGCCACAGCTGAATGGGAACTTGAAGGAAAGGTGGCATTCAGGCAGGCACAGAGGAGCAGAGGGCAGATGTGCCAGCCAAAGGAGCAAAACTAAAGAGATAGAAAAGTAATGGGAGTGGAGAGGGTTGCCAGCCTTACAGCTGCGCTGTGATTTGAGACACGTGCCGGGAGAGGCAGTGTGGTGTGGTGTGGGCGACTTCACTAGTAGCTAGTGCTGAGCTGCTGAAGGCTTCTGAGCAGAGAAGTTACGTGAAGACATAAGCAAGGTAAGCTTACTGCCCAGGCTACAATGAGACTAGTGACATAGGTGAGGGAGTGCGCGCCTGTAGCCCACCTGTTCAGGAGGCTGAGGAAGGGTGACTTGAACCCAGGAGCTTAGGGCCAGCCTGGGCAGCAAATCAAGACCTGTGTCTTTAAAACAAAAAGTACCATAAAGTAGGAAGAGAAAGTCGAGGGAAGAGATTATGATTGTGAAGTCAGCAAGTTAATTGGGTTTGAGGACAAGGGAGAGAGGAAATACACCTGTTAAAACCATGCTGAGTATAATTTCTGGCAGACATTTAGTATTCTTGGTGTGCATAGAGAACAGGGAAGACTATCAAATAGAGTACTTGCTAAAGAGAAAAATAGAAATGGTGACAGAGGCACATTCCTTATTCCTTTGCCATCCCTTCCTCTCCCCTTTCAAAAAGAGAAGGCTGCAGGGCCAGGGATTTAGCTCTGGTTTCGCTGCCTGCTGTGCAAGCGCAAGGACCTGAGTTCAATCCCCGGTACAAAAAAAAAAAAAAGAGAGAGAAGGCTGCAGATTAGAAGAGACTGTTCCCCGCTCTCAGCTGGAGTCTAAGTGGGCCTCAGAGAGCAGCTTGAATTCATTGAGAAACATGCTCTAAGCTTCTGCCTGTGCCAGGCATTGTGTTCCACGTGCAGCAGTGAGTAAGACTTAATTATCTTCAGCAAGCCTACAGCGTGACAAACATTTTAACAGATGAGTTATAATGTACTAAAGGGTTGATGTTCCATCAGTTGGAGTCCTCAGGTCAGAAAATCAGGGTAGTATCATCTCAAGTAACCATGTGCCTTTTACCTCACAAAACACTCCTGAAGGTGGCATCTGAAAGGTGGTAGAGAAAAATTAGAGGGAAAAGTAGAGGTGAGACATTCTGTCAGATGTAATAATGAACCTTTGATTTGTTTATATATTTTAACATTTTAAATCATTTTTTTCTCCATTTCCCCAGTCTGTTCATTACCAACAGAGGTAAGTCCTTTTAAATATTTTTCTCTTTTAATAATGTCTGCATTGGAGGTCAGTCTGTTTTAGAGATAACCTAAGAGCTTTCTTTTTTTTTTTTCATTCTACATCATTCGATCATAGAATTTCCCTTTTTTTTTTTCCTTTAACAGTACTGAGGAATGAACCCACGGCCTTTCCACTGAGCCACATCCCTAGCCCATTTTTTATTTTGAGACAGGGTCTTGCTGAGTTGCCAAAGCTGGGCTCAAACTTGCATCCTCCTTCCTCCCAGAACGTTGGAATTAACTGTAGTTTTGAATGCGTGTATGACCTCCCCTAGTGCTGGGGTTACACGCAGTGTGCTGCCATGGCTGGCTTTTTATTGTTTTGTTTGGTTTGGTTTATTTTTGAGTTGAGTTGAATTGAGGATTGAGGTCTCTGTTGTACCCAGCTTGAACTCCTGGGTGCAAACCAATCTCCTGCCTCATCCTCCTGAATAGCTGGGACCATGGGCGGAGACCACTGCATTTGCATTTGGCTGAACATTTTGGATTTTTGCATGGAACTCGTGAATAGTCGGTTGATAAAACAAGAGTAACCTTAAAGCTAAAATTTATACATCTGAGCAGAGGAAAAGAGCAATGTAGATTATGTGTGAGACTTTCTACAATGAGGAGCTGCCTAATCCTTTTTGATTTCTAGTTTCTTAATGGAGGTTTCCTGTGGGTGAAAAATCAGGTGGAAGTAATTCTATTCTTTATGTAGCGAGTATAGGAAATGATTTTTAAAAAAATTTTTTTTTTAGTACTGGGGATCAAACTTGGGACCTTGTGCTTACAAGGCGGGCGTAGGAACCACTGAGCTAAATCCCTGGCCCAAGAAATGATTTTTAATTGAAATGTACTGTTTGGAAATGTTTTAATTGAACTTGTTCTTTTTTTCTTTTTGCAGTACTGTGAATATATGCCTGATGTTACTAAATGTAGACAGTGGTTAGAGAAGAATTTTCCAAATGAATTTGCAAAACTCACTGTAGGTATGAACCTTTTTTTTCCTCTTACCAAGCTTGTAATCTAAAACAGTGAGTGTATAGCATTATTTTAAAGATATGAAAGTCCTCCTTTAGTAGGATACAAGATTTCATTAATCTCTAGAACCCTTCAAGTCTCTGAGACAGGATAGATCTAAGTATCGGTTTGCTATGAAAAACAGTAAAGGATTTAGGGGCAAATACATGCGCACATTCATTGTGAACATATTAAATGCTGCATGCTGTTTTGGGTTTTGAGGATAAAGCAATGAGCAAAAGATCTACTCTGTAGGAATTACATTTTAGAAGGGGATACAAGTCAGATGTGTAAAAGGTATACAGATAATGACAAGCTGAAGAGGAGGGGATGTGAAATTTTAGTGGACTGAGATGATGTTGCTAAAAAGATAGCATTTGATTAAAGACCTTCAGAAAAGAAGGAATGGGTCATAATGGATGTCTAGGCAGAGGCCAGGTCCCTGGGGCGGAAGTTTACCCAGTATATTCCAGAAACAGCAAAGTAGAGGTGGGGTTGTCACTCAACAGTGGAGCACTTCCCTACCCTGCAGGGGGGCCTGGCTCAGTCCTCAGCACTATTAAGAAAGGAAAAGAAAGAAAAGCAACCAGGGACCTTTACTGGAGCCAGTCAGCTGAGGGAAGAAGAGTTGGATGTGAAGTCACAGAGGCCAAGTGTTGGCGTTCACTGACCAAGACGGGCATGGAGCATTCGAGCAGAAGGGTTTCAGCAGCGTCACTTTGGCTGTGGGTTAAGAAGAGACTCAGAGGGTTGCAGGTAGAAAAGCAGGGGAACCAGGCAGGAACCTCTTGTGGTGGCAGTGAATGGAGGTCATGAGAAGTGGTCAGATGCTGAATGTATTTTGAAGGTGGAGCTGGCAGAATTTCCTGAGGGGCTGGGTGTGAGGAGTGAAGAAAAGGGAGCATCTAGGGTTCTGGTCCCAGCACCTAGAAGAATCGAGTTGCTGCTGCCAGGAGCAGAGCAGGCAATGGAGGAAAGGTGTCCTGAGGGCACTGAGACCATTGACTTATTTTTGGCAAGCGGAGGCAGTGTCAGAACAAGGGAAAGCCTAGGCTGTTACAGGCCTACCATGGGGCATCGTGTGTTGCCTACTCTGCTGCTTAGTTTTCAGCTTACTTCATGACACACAAGCCTGTATACCTGATGAGGCCTCATGGGCCGAGGTTGGCTGAGAGCCTGGTACTGTGAAAAGTCTCTGGTGTTGGGCCTGGGCCTGGGCCTGGGCCTGGCCCACTGAGGCCATGGTGTGTCTTGGAGAGGGTGTGTGGGGAGAAGGAGCTCTTCTCTCACCCAGGACCAGTGTGATGAGATGAGCCTGTTGGCTGCACCTGCAGGTCCTGAGTGTCTTATGCTCCTTCCATGGCTAAGGAAATCCTAATCCTCCCTTATCAAAGACCATTTTCTAGTCCCATTGCTTACTATGTCAGTCACCTTGCTGTCACTCTATAGCAAATACTTGAAATAATGCATAGAGAAAAGGTTTCTCCTGGTTCACAGTTCTAGAGGGTTCAGTCCATGATCACTGGCCTTGTTGCTTTGAGCCTCTCATGAGGCAGCTCATCACAGTGGGGGCATCTGGTGGAGCAGAACTGCACACCGCAGCGTCAGGAAGTGAAGAGTAGGAGTGGGCTGGGGTCCTGCTGTCCCCATGGAGGGCACCTCCTAAAGATTCCACCCCTCCCAGTAGCACCACCCTGGAAATAAGCCTTCAACACATGGCCCTTTGGGGCACACATATACAGACCATAGTACTCAGCCAGAATGACTTTAGAATTAGGTTTGGCTAGGGATATGGCAATGTGATCATTTGCCTCACAAATGTCATTCTCGATTGTTGGTAAAATGCCTTATTTGGGTATGAGGTTGTTCAAAGGTAATTACTTAACAGTATGAAATGATGTTCATCATCTTCAGTTTCATTTTTATGTCTAGAAAATTCACCCAAACAAGAAGCTGGAATTAGTGAAGGTCAAGGATCAGTAGGGGAAGAAGAAGAGAAGAAAAAACAAAAGAGAGGTAAGACTTAAATCTATGTCTTGATTTATGCAAACATACCTTCCCTCTGACAGAAGAAACTAAGAAAGTTCCCAAAGTAAAAAGAAATCTTATTGTAATTCCACATATGTGTCATTATAAAATTATCTTCTAGATCATGATTGGATTTGGTATGATTTGTCCTTTATTGAACCAGACCTAAGAAAGCATTCTCATTTCCTCTCTGTATATGTAAAGTACAACCAGCTATCTAGAATTCTGTGTATTCTGTTTTATTTTATCCCTACTTCCAATACCTTAATACAATTCCAATACATCTCCCGCTTCTAAAATGTAATTCCTTATGCTGTGGATCTTATCCTTGCCTGTGTCTCTGTAACTACAGTTAGCCTAAAAAGATTTTCAGGATTTTGTATCTTATTCTGGCAGGACTACAAGCATGGTAATGCTCCTGGTTTAGATTTTGCATGTTGAATCACTTCGAAGGGCTTGTGTCTGTGTTTAATCCCTCCCTTCTCAGCCAGATATCTTTTTATTTATTTATTTATTTTGGTACTGGGGATCGAACTCGGGACCTTGTGCTTGCGAGGCAGGCAACGCAACCACTGAGCTAAATCCCCAGTAACCAGATATCTTTACTAAGACTGGACTCACTCCTCCCTTTCTCTTCTCAATCCAGTCTGTCCTAACCTGACTCTGACTCCATGAAACTTCTAATACAAACCTCCAGTAGCTTGGTAACCGCCGCTAAGTCAGAAGAGCATTTGGGCACGCTCCTCTCCTGAAATGTGCATTTCCTTGATTTCTGTGGCATTCTTCCTTCTTACGTCTCCTGTCTATCACTCTGCCTTAGTTATCTGTGTAGACTTCTCCTCCCTCTGTCGCTTAGAAGTAGGCGTTTCCCAATATTCTGTCCCATCTCCTCTCTCTTTACCTTCACCAAGACACTTGTCCTTCAAGACCCACCTGGGTGATTCTGTCCCATCCTTACCTTCACACGGTACGGCACCTGGCACCCGTGTAATTCCCAAATCTGTGCCTGACTGTGTCTGCAGCCTGGAAGCGTGCGTGGTCACACAGGCACCACAAACAGAGCACTTCCAAAGTCAGACTTACTAAGTCTCACATTGACTTTCATTTTCACCGTTTTGGTAATGATGATTGAATTATCCTGTCATCTGAGCCTAAAACCTGAGAACCATCTTAGTCACCCTTTTTGCCCCCTTTAATCAGTTCTAAGCTCTTCTTTCTCCTCCTTCCTCTCTGTATCCTGTGGTAGCCATTACTGTTGCAATGTTTGTTTTTATATTCTGATTATTTCTACCAGAGCCAATTCAGAACTGCAGTGGCCTTTCTATTGACCCTACTCTTCACGGATCCGATCTCTTTGCTGAAAATAGAGTGATCTTATTCTTTTTTTTTTTTTTTTTTTGGTACTGGGGATCAAACTCAGGACCTTATGCTTTTGAGGCAGGCAGCGGAACCACTGAGCTAAATCCCCGGCCTGATGGAGTGATCTTTTTTTTTTGGTACCAGGGATTGAACTTGGGTCCTTGCACTTGCACAGCAGGCAGCGAAACCACTGAACTAAATCCCTGGCCCATGATGGAGTGATCTTAAAACAGATGTAATTATTTCATTCCTGCAGTCTTTCTGTGGCTTCTCCTCTCACAGTATCCAGTCTGATGCAGTGCTTAATGTTCTGAGTTCTTGCTGACTGCTCTGTAGTCTTTTACTCTTTGGGCTTCATCTGCTACACATCCATAAGCACCTTCAGTGAAGACAAATGTAGTTTCCAGATAGAATGCCCTTTTTTTCAGTCCCTGTACTTGTTCCATTTCCCTACAATATCCTTTTCATGTTTTCTTCTGTGGCATTGGGGAATGAACCCAGGCCTCCTCACTGAGCTGTATCCCCAGCCCTTTCTTTCTTTTTTTTGGTACCGGGGATTGAACTCGGGACCTTTCCCTTGCGAGGCAGGTAGCCTTTATTTTTTGAGACAGTCTTGCTAAGTTGCCCTCCAGGCAAGCCATGATCCTCCTGCCTCAGTCTCACAGAATGCTGGGATTTTATGTGTGCACCACCACACTCAGCTGAATATCCCCTCTTAGATCTCTCCAGCCCTTCTCTCCTCATCTGAGCACTTGTTCTTTAGGAACCACCTTAGATGTCACTTCTTCTAGGAAGCCTTTTCTGTCCTCTGGAAGCAGATTGAGTTATTGCTCTGTAAAGCTGGGGTAGTGCTTTATCCATGGAGGTGGTTGTATTTAAGTAAGTTTTAGGGGTGTAGTTCACTAGACAGAGTCCCTAGAGGGTAGAGACTGTGTTCTAGTCGTCTTGGTGCAATGCTGGGCAGTTTTAAGGCTTAGTATCCTATGATGATGATAAAAATGAAACAATGTAAAGTCTTTCTTAATAAACAAAGGTGGAAGAGGTCAAATAAAACAGAAGAAGAAGACTGTACCACAAAAGGTTACGATAGCCAAAATTCCCAGAGCGAAGAAAAAATATGTGACAAGAGTGTGTGGCCTTGCAACTTTTGGTGAGTTCAGGCTTCTGCTTGCTTTGCACTGGTGGAAGCTAAGTATGTTGCACATGTGTGAGCTATATTCTCTTGCTTGCTTTCTTGTTTTACCTGGTATTACAAAACTTTACAGGCCTGTTTTTGCTAAGAATATACAAAGTGAAGTTTTGCGTTTCTCTGTTTTCACACACACCCATACACCCATCTTCAAGATGAGGCCTTGCTGTGTTGCCCAGGCTGGTCTCAAACTCAAATGACTCCTTTCTGTCACCTCCAAATTAGCTGGGACTAGAGGCACGCACCACCACTCCCGGCCTGCGTCTCTAATTGTAGCTTTAAAATCATAGTCTGGAAAAATACAGAACTTTTTTGGTTTTTTGAGACAGGGTCTCACTATGTAGTTCACACTGGCCTTGAACTCACTAGATTATGTAGCATGGGCTGGCCTTGAACTTGTGGTGATTCTTCCTGCCTCAGCCTCCTGAGTGCTGCGAATACAAGCATGCATCATCACACCTGGCAAGAGAAATGTAGAATTTTTGTAGGATGCAATAGTACAACTTTTCCTTTGTGTAAGTCGTGCTTGGGTACATTTTGTGTAAGACAGGGAGGGCTGGGTTGGCTTCTTATTGAAGCCTGCCAGTGCTGCACTCTGTCCTCTGTAGGCTTGAGGGCAGGAGGTTGCAAGGTGGCCTGTCCCCTCCCACAGGGAGATGACAGTAAGAGTGGGGACATGGGCAGTAGACTGTCCTGCTCAGAGCCCTCAGTTCCTGGCAGCCTGGACTGCATGGTGATGCTGGGGTAAAGATATGTGAGCTTTTAAACCCGGATCTCAGCTGAGGCTGCAGCTCAGTGGGAGAGGGCTTCCTGCCACGCGTCAGGCCTAGAGCTCAGTCCCCAGTAAACTGCAAAACAATAAGACAAATCCAGGTCTCTTCAAGTGACAACACAGACTGAAAAACATCACTGGATTGTATTTTCAGTTTGAAGACTTGTTTCTCTGCTGTGCATTTTTCCACTGTAAAAGGAGCTTAAACAAAAGACTCCGTTCCTATTTGGAGGTGTGTATGTGATATCTGGAAGTAACGCCTGCTAGGTTCATTTTGGTCTTAAATATATGAGCTGGGATAGCGTGGATGCTGCTATTTTTATATATTGAGCTTTTGTTTTACCTTGAAAATGTATGTGGAATTACGAGCTCCGTCTGTGGCAGTTTTAATTATTCTGAAAGGAGCAAGAAACCCACTACCACCATCTGTTTTGTGAGTTTAAAATGCAGGTTAAGTTTCAAAATAGAAAAAATATCTTTGATGCACAGTTCTAATTACATTCTCTTTCTTAAAAACACAAAACAAAACAGAAATTGATCTTAAAGAAGCACAAAGATTTTTTGCTCAGAAATTCTCCTGCGGTGCCTCAGTAACAGGGGAGGATGAGATCATCATTCAGGGGGACTTTACAGACGACATAATTGAGGTCATTCAGGAAAAATGGTCAGAGGTGAGTACATGGGACACGTGCACATGTAGAAAAAGTGTTCCTTTTTTTGGTACCAGGAATCAAACTCAAGACTTTGTGTTTGCCAGGCAGGCATGGTGCCACTGAGCTAAATCCTTGGCCTCAAGAAAAAAATTTGTTTTTATTTTCTATTTTTTTGGTACTGGAGATCAAATGGGTAAGAAAAAGTTTTTAAAACAAGTTTATTTGTTTTTTTGTTTGTTTTGTTTTATTTTTGTAGTACTGGGGATCAAACTCTGGACCTTGCACTTGCAAGGCAGGCATGCTGCCACTGAGCTAAATCCCCGGCCCTTTATTTTGTTTTTTGATGTCACAGCTCATGATATATAATTCTTTGTGTTTATAGGTGGATGATGACAGCATTGAAGATCTTGGAGAAGTAAAGAAGTGATTTTGAAAACTTGTCTCTATTTAATGACCTGAACTGAGAGCTGTAAGGCCAACAGGGGAGAGGCTTTTTAAAAATATATATATTTATCCTACAGTGAAACTGTAGCCTACCCTCGTCCTTGGCGTTTTCACTGTTCTGTACAAGGCTGCTTGGTTTTTTTTTTATTGCCAAAGTCTAATAAACAGGGAAGACTGTCATGCTCGTGCATGAGTCAGAATTTAGTCAAATAAAAAATTTTTTGGTCATTTGGTACTTTTTTCTCTTTAACATTTTAAAAAACTATTTTGGAAAATCGCTGTAGACTTTTTCATTTTGCTCTCCTGAGGATCAAACCCAGGGCCTCATGTGTGCTGGGCAAGTGCTGCACCTGGGAGCTGCGTCTCTAGCCCAACACTGTGGACTTCCTGGGAAGCAGTTTGCTGGATTCTTACTGCTCAGCAGCTGAGAGATTTTTAAAAAGAATTTGAATTTGGCTTTCTTACCAGTCAGATATCTTATTGCTTTGGTGTGACATTTTGAGATGGGTAAGATGCATAGATCTTTAGTTGGATTTGTTGCATTATTACCATCAAAGTCCACTATTACATGACACTATGCTGTTGGTAGTTGTTCAAGCTATTCTTGAGATGAGTGGCAGATAAAGCCTTAAAATCGTGCACTTTTAGACCGTATAAACTACTTCTTTGACTTACTTATCCTAAAGTAAGTCTTGCTGAAAATTTATAGATGAGAGTGTTCATCACAATGTCTCCCATCCAAGTACTAACCGGGCCCAACCCTGCTTAGCTTTCGAGATCAGGTGAGATTGTGAAGTTCGGGGTGGTATGGCTGTAGACTCATCACAATGTTATACCAAAAATTGCAAACAAGGGCTGGGGATTTAGCTCAGTGGTTCTGCCACCTGCCTCGTAACCCCAAGGATCTGAATTCAAGCCCTGGTACCAAAAAAAAAAAAATTGCAAACAATATAAATGATTGAGAAATGGTTAAAGAGGTGGTCGTACATGATGTGGTAGAATATTATGACTATATTTAAAGATTGTTTTCCAAAAATACTTAGAAACATTGTGTTGTAGTTACTTTTCTCATTGCTCAGACAAAATACCTGATACTCAAAATTAAGTGAGTAAAGGTTTATTTGGCTCACTGTTTGCAAGGTTTCAGTCCATGATCAGCTGGCTCCAAGGTAGGGTGGCATAGCAGAGGGGCTTAGCAGCTTCTTTCTGCCCCTTTTATATTCCATCTGGGCTACCGGACTTAGGAGGGTGTGCCAAGCCAATCAGTGGACTGGTTAAGTAATCACACATCTTTAATCCCAGCACCACACTCGAGATCCAGCCACCTCTGAAAAGCCCCACCTATAACATGAGGGTTTGGGGGGACATCTAGACACAAACCATAGCACATTGTTTGGTAATGTTAAGTATTTGGGGTTTGGTTTTTTTGGGTTTTTTTGTTTTTTTTTGGTACCGGGGATCCAACTTGGGTCTTTGCGCTTGCACAGCAGGTGGCAAAACCACTGAGCTATATCCCCAGCCCAGGGTTGGTTTCTTTTTTTGAGATAAGGTCTCACTGTGTTGTACAGGCCAGCCTTGAACTCATACTCTTCCTGCCTTAGTCTCCCAGTGCTGGGATTACAGGCATGTGCCACCACACCTGGCTCCTAAATCCATTTTATTTATTTATTTATTTTTTCCTAAATCCAATTTAGACATTCGTTATTACTATACTGAGTGGAAAACCACTCAGAGAACCTGGGAGTTCTTGCTGGGACTATGCATCCTATGAGTGAACTTCTGCTAGCCAATTAAAAATAATGTAGTTATAGGCTGGGGATTTAGCTCAGTGGCTGTGCCTGCCTGGCAAGTGCAAAGTCCTGAGTTCAATCTCCGGTACCAAAATAATAATAATAATAATGTAGTCATGCTTGATACATAGTCTGAAGAGTAACAATTGAAACATCCCCTACAAAAATAAATAATATATATGCCTTTCTCACAAGAGAAACAATGACTTTAATGAATGCATTAGATAAATTTAAACTTTGTTTTACATCACGTACTACAAATTGGAAAGATTTGTGATACTAAAAATTGCAGCCTAGTTAATGGCATATCCTGTAATCCTAGGAGGCTGACCAGTTTGGATGATTTAGCCAGACCCTGTCTCATAATAAAAAAGTAAAATGAAATGGGCTGAAGGTGTAGCTCAGTGCCTCCAATGTGTGAGGCCCTAGGTTCAATCCTCAGTACAGAACTTCCAAAAAAATAAACTATAAACTTTAAGTTCGAGCCAGGGCTGGGGGAGGATAGGAGAAAAGGTGGATGAAGAAATTTAGAACACATGAAATCAGTGTTTATTGCCATGAAAATACAATCTTGAAAGACTTTAAAAATGTCTTAGAAAAATGTGTAATAAAGATGTACATTTAAAAATGATATTCTGCATTAACTGAATTTTCCTAAGGCTTACTCATCAAGACCATTTTTTTTTTTTAGTACTGGGGATCGAACTTGGGTCCTTGCCCTTGCGAGGCAGGCACGGGGAACCATCATCAAGACCATTTACTACCTGGCGTGGTGGTGCACTGCTGTAACCCCAGCATTTGAGAGGCCGAGGCAGAGATTCACAAGTGGTCTCCAAAAGAAAAAATTAGCATGAGGGCTGGGGATTTAGCTCAGTGATTCCAGCGCCTGCCTCGAAAGCACAAGGTCCCAAGTTCGATGCCTGGTACCAAAAAAAAAAAAAAAAAAAAATTAGCATGTGTTATGTATGTATGCTTTTGGTGCTGGTAGGTATCTGTGCATGTGTCAACATGTGACTCTAGCCAAGTGCAGTGGTGCATGCCTATAATCCCAGCACTCCAGCAGGCTGAGGCAGGAGGATTACAAATTAGAAACCAGCCTGGGCAATTTAGTTACTTAGAGCTTCTGGAAATAAAAAGGGGTGTAGCTCAGTGGTTCCACCACCTGCCTTGCAAGCACAAGGTCCCAAGTTTGATCCCTGGTACCAAAACAAAAAAAAAGCCTCAAGTCAGCTGTACTTAAGATATGATCTGTGAATCATGTACTGCAAACGTGCTAATGAAAATTAAAAGCTAAAAGATCATAAATTAGATGAAGTCTACCTTTTAGGTCTTTACTAAATTCCTTTACTTGGGAAATCAAAGATTTTTTTTGTTTTGAAGAAAACCTGTGGGGGCGAACTTAAAGCATTGAGATTGTAATCTGCACCTAGTCATCATAACCCTTTTGCCACATTCACGTACTTTTTTTTTTTTTTGGTACCAGGGATCGAACTTGGGTCCTTGCGTTTGCAAAGCAGGTGCCAAAACCACTGAGCTAAATCCCTGGCCTGACATTCACTTACTATTGACCCTGCTCAGGAGATGAGTCCATCTCTTTCCATTCTCTGCGTGCACACTTCCGGTGTTGGACAGTGGCTTCCTGGTGAATGATGGCATCTCAGGGCCTCCTTAATCTTTCTTACTTTGTAGTCATCTATTGAGAAGCTGATTTGGAGGTTGGGCTGTGCCTTTGTTTCTTTGCAGTATTGGGTATTGAACCCATCCATGGCCTTGTTCTGGTAGACAAGGCCTCTACCACTGAGCAACACTCCCAGTCCTTTCCCAATTTTGATACAGGGTCTACCCAAGCTGACCTCAAACTTGGATTCCTGCCTCAGCCTCACGAATAACTGGGATTTGTGGGTGTATTTTTCATGATAAAAGCCTGGCTGGCTGTTCTTCACTTCTCGTGACCCAGTTCCTTTCCTGCCTGACAAGAGGAAAAGGGAAAAGAGAGGTGACTGGGGATCACGTAAAAGGCTTACATTCAACCCCGGATATGGTCAGTTTTATCGTGAGAAAGTGCTACAGTTCTCACTGATGATCAAAAGCAGAAATCCATTCTTCCAGTCTTCCTCTGTGTCTCCTGGTTTCGGCTGGCCTGCTAGAGTGGCCAGGACTCCGCCTGTCTCCACTGATTCATTCATCCGAGTGCCAAGTCCTGTTATCAGGGCCAGGTGTACCCAGCAGGAAACGGCTGAGCTCTGTGAAGAAAGGACTGGAAAATGAGCAAACTGTCACCAAAGTGTAACCTGGCATGGTGTCGCACGCTTGTAATCAATCCCACCTGCTCTGGAGGCTGAGGCAGGTGGGTTGTGAGTTGGAGGCCAACCCAGACAACTTGTGAGATCGTCTCAAGTTTTTAAATGGCTGGGATCTAACTCTGGTAGAGCTCTTGCCTAGCATGTGCAAGGCTCTGGTGGGTTCGATGGAGACCTACCAACAACCTTTAATTTGATTCACTTTCACTGGGTGATGGTAGAGAACTAGTCTTGTGCTCAGCCAAGTGGAGGTGCGTGCCTGTAATCACAGCATTCTGGGAAGCTGAGGCAGGAGGACTGCAAGTCTGAGCCCAGTGTCAGCAATTTAGAGATCTAGCAAGACTCACAAAATTTAAAAACAAAAAGGGGGTTGGAGATGTAGTTAAGTGTAAAGGCCCTGGGTTCAGTCCTCAGCACGTTAAAGAAAAAACCAGCCCTCGCTGGACCCGCCAAAGCAGAAGACGGAACCACTCGCTACCCTGGCGGTGGGAGGGCGGATCCGACGCGAGTGGCCCCTTCGCGACGCCATAGGCGCGGCCGACGGTTAAACCGCGAGCGTGGCGGCGAGGGCTCCGCGAGGACTCCGAAGTAGTCCCTTCGCTCCCGCCGGCGCCAGGCGCGCCCATGGCGTTTCTGAGGTGACGCTGCGGCAGCGACTCCCCGCGGGCGGAGGCAACACCTATGAACCCTTCGGCGACCTTCCTCGCCCGGCGCCAGGTGCGCCCGGTCGGGGGCGGCGGACCGCGGGAAGAGCCATGCGGGTGGGCCCAAGTCCAGGCTGCCGCTCACTTCCGGTGCGCCGAAGAAACGGCTCGGCGGATTCCGGGCTCCAGCCCCGCTTCGGGGCCCAGGGAGGACTCTTTGCCGGTGACAGTTGTTATTTAGAGCTGGGTCTCCTGTCGTCTCGCTTGATTCCCCTTGATAGCCTGGCGAGTGTGGGCGCGCTCTTAACTCCATCCAAACAAAGTCTAAAGTGAACTTGCCCAGAGTCTGCATTCGTCAGAATGTGAGATGAATAAACGCTCGTTTCTGTTACTGTTTTTTGAAACGGCTCTGTGTACCCCAGGCTGGTCTCGAACTTGTGATCCTCCTGCCTGAACCTCCCAAATGCTAGGATTACAGACGTGTGCCACCACTCCCAACTCAAACGAACACTTTTCGTATATTTGGATTATTGTTTGTTTTCCTGCAGTGGAATATATACTTCCCTGGTGTGCACATGGCTGAATCCCTAGCCATTGGCGCACAATGAATATTTGTAGGATGAATGAATGACTAACTGGAATAAAAGTCTTATAACTTGGAATGTCCTGAGTCCAGATTCCATTTTCTGAGTTTAATTGCTAATAAGGAATTATAATTCATTAATCAATATATATATATATCTATGTCTCTATATCTGTCTATACAATATCTTTTTTTTCTCTCTCTCTTTTTTTTTTTTTTTTTGGTACCGGGGATCAAACTCGAGTCCTTGCGCTTGCAAGGCAAGCGGCAGAACCACTGAGCTAAATCCCCGGCCCCATTGTCTTTTTTAGGGGGGACAGAGTTTTATTATATAATCCAGGCCAGCCTTGAGAACTCATTTTAACCAAGGCAGGACTTGGACGGAGGACCAGGAGTGCCACCACACTCAATGCTATTTATAAATCTTGTTTTTCAAAAAGCAGTAGTAATCCCAACACTCTGGGAGACTGAGGCAAGAGGATCCCAAATTCAAACCCAGTCTGGGAAATTTACCAACTTATAGAGATTCTGATTTTTAAAAAAAAGCAATAATGATGCCCGGTTGTCTTTGATGGACATTTAACTTCTGGCTTTAAGAGAGAAGTCTTAACACTTCCTGGATGGGAACAGTGTCATAATTCAACAGGACCATAATTTAAAATGGATTTTATACTTTTAAAAATTGCTAATGTTGGGCCAGAGATTTAGCTCAGTGGTTCCACCGCCTGCCTCACAAGCACAAGGTCCAGAGTTCGATCCCCAGTACCAAAAAAAAAACATTGCTAATGTTTGTGATTACTGTGTGCCAGGCACTGTGTCAAGTGCTTTACAGAACTTCTCTGGCATAATCCAAACAATTTTAAGATGTTAAACTGTTACTACATTTTACAGGTGAGAAAACTAACGGTTAAAGAAGTTAAGTAACTTGCCCATGGTTATATGGCCACTAAATGGCTAAATCTAGACCCACACTTTGCTAAGATGAATTTCAGTGCACTAGAGTTTAAAATGATGTGATTAAAAGGAATTATTGTGAACCCAGCGTGCTGGCACATGTCTGTAATCCTAGCACTCTGAGGGGCCTGAGCCAGGTGGAGTCCCAATTCTAGTCTATCCTCAGCAACTATTTCTCAAAAAAAAAAAAAAAAAGGTAAATCAGTGGAAAGCTGGACTCAATCTCCGTACTGCTTTAGAGAGCAGAGAGAGAGAAAGAGAGAGATTGATTACAGTAGATACTATTGTTAGGTAAAGCCAGGTGTGGTGGCCATGCCTGTAATCCCAGCACTCAGGAGGGTGAGGCAGGAAGATCGCCACCAGTTCAAAGCCAGTCTGAACAACAAAGTGCGACCTTGTCTCAAAAAATATCATTAGGTAGGTAGGGGCCAGGGATGTAGCTCAGTGGCTCCTTGCCTGCCTTGCAAG